TCAGCCGGCGCCAAAGTCAAATCCACTTGTTCCTGCATCCGTGGACTTTCCCCCCAGAGCAGGATCCAGACCCAGGAGCAGTGAGGAGGGAGACGCTGAAGGGTCGGTGTGTAATGGTTAAAATATCATGTTCAGGGAGAGTGATTTATGCCGCGGTAAACGACCCGACCCCAGAATGAAGGAAGTCTGTGTGTTGTGTGTAATGTCTGCCCAGGTTTTATTATGTCACTGTCTCATGGTTTGGTCCAGTTTAGATGATCTCTCTCTCAATGTGGACCTCCTCCAGGTTTCTAACACTCTTCCCTTTGGGTTTAGAGTTTGTTTATTGTTCATTGTTTATTGGGGATCCCCATTAGCTTCCACCAATGTGTTTGGGAATCTTCCTGGGCTCCCAGTTAAGATGAGTGTACTACAAAACAATACAAATAAATAATACTTTAATCAATGCAATACATTAATTCATTCATTGCCATCATGTTAAAGGCATAGATCAAATATTAAGTCAACACGAGGGGGACAAACAGACACGAAGCCACGCATTATAATATAACGAGTAATGAGTGACCGGAGTAATTCACTTTCTCCTCATCTGGACCTGGTCTCAGACGGACTTTGGAAACTGTTGGTTTTGTACTTCTCTGTGCAACCATCTGTCCTGATGACTTTGTTTCATTCATTTGTCTGAACACGTGCATAAAAGAGGTTCAAAAGCAAAAGTTACAATTTCCTTTCACATTCTTTTACTTCTATTTACATTACATATATTACAATTGTCAGTAAATCTGTATAAATGTGTTAAATTAATGAACAAGGATGGAGACATCTGTTAAATACAAAAGATTTATTTTTGGTCAAAACAAGGGCAAAATAAATGTTTAGGAAAATCCTGTTTTACTTCTCACTCCTTTTTCGAGCTGATACTTAGATTTACAATATACATGTATTTTAAATAACTAAGTTATGTATTGACCTCGAAATAAATACATTTTATTTCAAATGACAAAAAGTGACGCATCAGACCAATGTTACTGGTCACACGTCGCACGTGAATCACGTGGTTTGAAAACACCTCCCCACGCTGAAGAGAAACTTGGAGGTACCATTTTTAATGGAAAAGCACTCACACTCAGCCGGGCCGTGCTGTACCGTACTGTACGGTGCTGTACCGTACCGTGCTATACCGTGCCGTGCTGTACCGTGCCGTGCTGTACCGTGCCGTGCTGTACCGTTACTGTGGAAAAGCTCTTATGTGTTATTATTGCCTTTCCTGTGTTCTGGTTGAGTCTCTGATCTGTTGTTGGTGAATCCACAACTTTGTAAAGTCCTCCAAGACCTCCGTAGAACAAGGACTGAGGCTGCGCGGTGCAGGACTGCGGAGGCCCACGAGCCCGGGCCTGTGGGGAGCCCGGGCCTGTGGGGAGCCCGGGCCTGTGGGGAGCCCGGGCCTGTGGGGAGCCCGGGCCTGTGGGGAGCCCGGGCCTGTGGGGAGCCCGGGCCTGTGGGGAGCCCGGGCCTGTGGGGAGCCCGGGCCTGTGGGGAGACCAGTCACAGGTGCAGATGAAAGAGATTCAGGGGTCTCAGCATCACGCCATGAGACAGGCAATGGGACAGCGGGTGAATAGCAATGAACAGACTACAGCTGAAGTCATTATTAAATTGTAAAACATTTTGTCTTTTTCCTGAATGAGGGTCATCGTCTCATTTTTACTTTTCTCTCTGAAAAAGCTGATCCAAAGATGTGAGACCAAATATGTGTAAAAACTAACAATAGACTTTTTTGTCTGAGACGGTGATTTCTCTGTTCGACTGGGGATTACAGGAGAACAAAAAATAGCTAAAAACAAACGTATTTTTGCGTATGAAAGTAGACAATCCAGTGTTTCAGAATCTAGTCCTAGCACACAACATTCTGTGGGTCTTGAGAATCGGAGAAATCATCAAAAACGGCCAGAACTTCATTACAAATCCGTCCTAAGAACATGTTTGCTTTTCAGACTCCAACTCTGCGGCTGTAATTAACCCCCCGGTGCCCGTGTGTACCCAGCCCCAGCACTGTGCCCATTCAGGCCCGGGCCTCCTGCAGCTGCCCCAGAGGAGGAGGGCGGCCGTACCATGTGGTCCCATGTGTCTTTAAGAGGATTACCACCGAAGGATCCGGAGGAGGGCTCTTCATTGTGCTCAGTGAGAGATGGTCGATGTGACGCAGAGATTGGAGGCTTATGGTCCATCAAAGAGGGCTCCCTGAGTGTCTCGGGACGCTGCTGCTGATGCTGTGCACATTAAAGATGGATTAAAATTATAACCATTTTACTTCCTGGATTATTGTGTGGATAAAAGCACAGTTACAGTTAGAAAAGAAAGTTCATTTGTAATATATTAATTATTCAAATTAACTGTTCTCAGTATAGTCCTCATTATCGTCAAAATAATATTCAAAAAATTGAAATCCACAAAAATAAAATAAGGAACAGAAACCAAAAGGTAAAATACAATAATAGTTATAATAAAAAGAAAGAAAGAAAACTATACATATACACACACACACATGCTGTATACACACACACATGCTGTATACACACACACATGCTGTATACACACACACACACACACATGCTGTATACACACACACATGCTGTATACACACACACATGCTGTATACACACACACACACACACATGCTGTATACACACACACATGCTGTATACACACACACACATCCTGTATACACACACACACATGCTGTATACACACACACACATGCTGTATACACACACACACGCTGTATACACACACACATGCTGTATACACACACACATGCTGTATACACACACACATGCTGTATACACACACACACACACATGCTGTATACCCACACACATGCTGCACACACACACACATGAGGTATACACACACACATGCTATTTACACACACTCATGCTGTATACACACACTCATGCTGTATACACACACACACACATGCTGTATACACACACACACACATGCTGTATACACACACACACATGCTGTATACACACACTCATGCTGTATACACACACACACATGCTGTATACACACACACACACATGCTGTATACACACACTCATGCTGTATACACACACACACACACATGCTGTATACACACACACACTCATGCTGTATACACACACTCATGCTGTATACACACACACACTCATGCTGTATACACACACTCATGCTGTATACACACACACACACACATGCTGTATACACACACACACTCATGCTGTATACACACACTCATGCTGTATACACACACTCATGCTGTATACACACACACACATGCTGTATACACACACACACATGCTGTATACACACACACTCATGCTGTATACACACACACACATGCTGTATACACACACACATGCTGTATACACACCCACATGCTGTATACACACACACATGCTGTATACACACACACACATGCTGTATACACACACACACACATGCTGTATACACACACACACATGCTGTATACACACACACACATGCTGTATACACACACACACACATGCTGTATACACACACACATGCTGTATACACACACACACATGCTGTATACACACACACATGCTGTATACACACACACACACATGCTGTATACACACACATATGCTGTATACACACACACACACATGCTGTATACACACACACACATGCTGTATACACACACATATGCTGTATACACACACACACACATGCTGTATACACACACATATGCTGTATACACACACACACACATGCTGTATACACACACACACATGCTGTATACACACACATATGCTGTATACACACACACACATGCTGTATACACACACACACACATGCTGTATACACACACACACATGCTGTATACACACACACATGCTGTATACACACCACACATGCTGTATGCACACACACACACATGCTGTATACACACACACATGCTGTATACACACACATATGCTGTATACACACACACACACTCATGCTGTATACACACACACATGCTGTATACACACACTCATGCTGTATACACACACACACATGCTGTATACACACACATATGCTGTATACACACACACATTCATGCTGTATACACACACACACATGCTTTATACACACACATATGCTGTATACACACACACACACACTCATGCTGTATACACACACACACATGCTGTATACACACACACACACATGCTGTATACACACACACACATGCTGTATACACACACATATGCTGTATACACACACACACACTCATGCTGTATACACACACACACATGCTGTATACACACACACACATGCTGTATACACACACATGCTGTATACACACACACATGCTGTATACACACACACACACACATGCTGTATACACACACACACATGCTGTATACACACACACACACATGCTGTATACACACACACACATGCTGTATACACACACACACATGCTGTATACACACACACACACATGCTGTATACACACACACATGCTGTATACACACACACACATGCTGTATACACACACATATGCTGTATACACACACACATGCTGTATACACACACACACATGCTGTATACACACACATATGCTGTATACACACACACATGCTGTATACACACACAAACACATGCTGTATACACACACACACATGCTGTATACACACACACAAACATGCTGTATACACACACAAACACATGCTGTATACACACACACACATGCTGTATACACACACACAAACATGCTGTATACACACACACACACACACACACACACACATGCTGTATACACACACAAACACATGCTGTATACACACACACACACATGCTGTATACACACACACAAACATGCTGTATACACACACACACACACACACATGCTGTATACACACACACACATGCTGTATACACACACACACACACATGCTGTATACACACACACACATGCTGTATACACACACACACATGCTGTATACACACACACACATGCTGTATACACACACACATGCTGTATACACACACACATGCTGTATACACACACACACACATGCTGTATACACACACACATGCTGTATACCCACACATATGCTGTATACACACACACACGCATGCTGTATACACACACATATGCTGTATACACACACACACACATGCTGTATACACACACACACATGCTGTATACACACACATATGCTGTATACACACACACACTCATGCTGTATACACACACACACATGCTGTATACACACACACACATGCTGTATACACACACACATAGTGTATACACACACACATGCTGTATACACACACACACATGCTGTATACACACACACACATGCTGTATACACACACATATGCTGTATACACACACACACACATGCTGTATACACACACACACATGCTGTATACACACACACATAGTGTATACACACACACATGCTGTATACACACACAAACATGCTGTATACACACACACACACACACACACATGCTGTATACACACACACATGCTGTATACACACACACATGCTGTATACACACACCCATGCTGTATACACACACATGCTGTATACACACACACATGCTGTATACACACACACATGCTGTATACACACACCCATGCTGTATACACACACATGCTGTATACACACACACATGCTGTATACACACACACATGCTGTATACACACACACACATGCTGTATACACACACATGCTGTATACACACACACATGCTGTATACACACACACACACATGCTGTATACACACACACATGCTGTATACACACACATGCTGTATACACACACACATGCTGTATACACACACACACATGCTGTATAGTTTGGTTTAGTTTATTCACAATTCACACAGTCCCTAAAAGTACATGTGTTACATTGTGAAAATGGAACTCCCAGAAGCAGAAGCTTTTACATTAGGGCTCCATCACACCACCACCACCACAGTTACAAACCTACAGTCAATTATACAGTCATCATACAGCAGAGGTGTGGACTCGAGTCATGTGACTTGGACTCGAGTCAGACTCGAGTCATGATTTTGATGACTTTAGACTCGACTTGACCAAATATAAAAAGACTTGCAACTCGGCTTGGACTTTAACATCAATGACTCTGACTTTCACTTGGACTTGCGCCAATTGACTTGTAAAGACTTGCGTAACCCGGGCCATTTTTACCTTTCTCCGCATCTCTCTTTCTATCTATGCCGTCTCTGAAGAAACAAAGCCTCGCGGTAGTTGTAGCGCTCGCGAGAGAGTTCGAACGTGAGTTCCAGGCAGTTCGCGCAGCAACACTTCCCTAAACAAGCGGACTGCATTCACCGGTGGGTGTGTTGTCGTAGGGGAGCTGGAAATGAGCGAGCTGCAGGTATTTATCGCGACCTAACGTCATATTTTGTTCTACAAACCGTAATTATATGCTTTCACTACAGGCGCCTCATACAATTGAATCGACGCAGTTGTCACACCGTGTGCCGTGTTTTAAAGAGGAACTGGTGAGTCAAACTAGCGCTAGCCTGCGCTGCTCTGTTGGCTCTTTCTTATATTTTTCTGTGTGGGCGCCGAGGCCTATTATTATGAGTATGTTTTTGCTGTGCTCCTCCTGCTAAAGTTTGCATACATTAGATAGTTGTTTTGATTATGTGCACTAAGCTAGATTAATATTTGCACTATTGTTTATGGTGCATTGATATGAGAATCAGTGCTTTGACTGATTGAATTAATTTATATGAGACATTTTATTATGTAATGATATATTGGTAATTATGAGATATTACTAATGCTGGCCCAGTTCATACAGGCCAGGTTCCTTCCCCTCCATTGGTCCCTTCAGTCCTTTGGAACAATAACCACTACGGACATTAAACTGATTATATAGATACAGGTCCTAGCCCAATACTCATATTCATATATGCTGCACTTGCTACTTCCCATTAAAAACCCCAAAGATAAAAAGTATGTTGACACGGACTGCTCTGATTTTATGTGTGGTCTGTGCATGTGTAACTGAGCCTGCATCTGGCACAACATAGTTTTGATTTACCAGCAGCCAACCACATGGAACAAACTGTTAGTCCATGGGTCAGAGACCAACGAGAATGCACCAGCAAAATGATTCCTAACATTATTTTGTTTGCCTACAAAAGTACGTGGAGACCAACAAGAAACAAATCGCGGTCAAAAAGA